ATCATAGTTTTGTCCTATGGGGGGAAAAACATAGAGGCAAATCAGAATGGAGCAGGTTCAAAGAACAAAGTGGGGAAAAGGATTAAAGAGGCAACAATGAACACTACCTTTGCCGTGTTTCAAAATCTGTTGTTCCACTCAGGGCTGTATAATGAAAGCAAAAATTTTTTTTCTTTCAAGGCTAAATGGTAAAATGGAAAACTAATTTAATGTTGCCTTTGTATTACCTTCAAAATAAAATTAAAATTACCCTTTTATAGAAATGTTTTACCTTTCCAAGGTTAAGAAATAATCGAACAAATCCTATGAAATTATTTGTTCCTGTGTGATTTCTTTTCTTTTGTTCTTCTACAGTTAGAAAGCTTATTGACTTGTAAGTGACTCTTCATGCTAATATGCACAATATTTATACATCTATAAGTAATACCCACTTGCCCAGTGGCATTCCACACAGAAAAAATAGAATTTTATGTATCATTAGGCAGTTTCTAAGGTGTCAGCAGTTTCATACAAAGCAGAAGCATAATGACTAGTCGTACTACTTGCTAAATAGCAGAGTGTTTGGAAATTTTTAAACCACTGCATTAGATACACCTGGACTCCCTGACTGAGCTAAACTCCCTCCTCCATCCATGTGTGTTCAGCATACAAGCAGCCCCTACCAATGGTCTCTTTCTAGTGAAGAGGGCATAAAAAGGGAGTGTACCTGCAGGGCTCCTGCAATCCTAGTGACTCCCAGCAGAGAGATCCCGTGGCTGAGGCTAACTGCATATGTGCAAGAAACGTGGGACCCTCTTGCTTTAAAAAAAGAAAGAAAAATATTCCAGTCAATGTATTAAAACAGTTTTCCTCTTTTTTTCTGTGGTAATTCTATTGACCTGCCATGGTGATTTTTATTTGCTATTTAGTCTTAAGCTTAGAAAAACATTAAAATTTTAATTACTACCATTCATTTTTACATTGCCCAATGCCAATTTGATGAAAGAACATTGAAATAAAATGTGTACCACTAAAGTTACACAGTTTTCATAGCTCATGCATGCATATGTATTTTGTTCCCATCAGAACAGTGGAAGTGCTACATAAAAATAACTGTTTTTATTTCACTTTTTTTTATGTGCACATTCTACTGATTCCTTTGACTAACTGATGAGAAAGGAAATTCTAAAAGGAAAGGGAGTGTTGTGCTTTGGAATATGAAGTATCCCCCCAAAGCTTATATGTTAAGGTGGGACTATTCAGGGGTGAAATGATTGGATGGGGAGAGCATCATCAGCCCATCCTAGTTTGAATGGACTAACTGGGTGGTAACTATAGGCAGGTGGGGTGTGGCTGGAGGAGGTGAATAACTGGGGGCATGCCTTGGAAGGGTGCATCTTCCCTGTACCTCTCCCCCCACTCTAAGCCCCTGCTTCCTGGCCACCGTGAGCAGAGTTATTCACCTTTGCAGTGCCCTTCTRCCTCACCTTGGCTCCAGAGCTTCAGCTGACTATGGACTAAATCATTAAAACAGTGAGCTCAAAACAAAATTTTYTTCCTCTAAATTGTTCTTGTCAGGTAGTTTGGTCACAGTGAAGAAGAACTGATTGATTAGCACAGAGTCACAAGCCTAAATGGGTAGCTAATACAGAGAGGTAACATGGGAGAGGATTTGGGGGATCTCTTGGTCTTTGTGGTTCTTAGAACCCCATTGCTTCCTTTCTGCATTTGAGGCAAGTTGGAGACTTGCTTAAGTCTCACAAAACCCCCTCACATTATAGGACCCCTAGAATTCAGTGCCTTGGGGCACAACAAGTACCATGTGGGAGGGAGGAGGTAAGCAACCATACATTTTGTGTGCATCTCCTTTGTTCAAACTCATGCACCGTTGCTCCATAGGACTTATAAAACTTGAGTTTAAAGATAAAATTAAGAATTTAAGGCAAGGACAGGACAGCATGAATTCCTTATGAGTGGAGGGCCCTGTGACTGCACAAGTCACATGCCACGTACATGGTTCCATTCCTGAGTCACCAAGGGCAAGACTATGTCCCTCCCCGGGCAGGGTAATGTTCAAGGCTGATAGTTTTGCAAAAAGAGGGGTGAGGCAGTAAAAGAAAGGAGAGTTTCCCATCTGGGAAAAACTGGACACACACACACACACACACACACACACACACACACAATACACTCTATGTTCACTCTTATCCTGGTCAAATTAAGATGGTCAAATTGACCAGTGCTTTGTCAGAGCATTCAGAATGCATCAGAGCCCACAAAATTACAGTTTGTTGGTGATGCTATTTCCAGCCAATACATATTTAAGTATGTTTGTCAAGCCCAGCAAAATGTTCAAATGTATTACAATATAATGAGTGGCAACCGTTCTCTGCCCCTGGGGTGACAACTACACTGTGCTAAAATGCCAAGTATGTATGTGTATGTAAGAGCTTCAAAATTTATGAAGGATACCCCCCAAGTCCCTCCAAGCTAGAGAAAATGAAATGTTTTAACGTGATCCTTGGTGTCCCAACAATTATTTTCTGTTCACATCTTTACACCATAAATTTATTGCCTTTTTAAATTTTCACTAAAAGTCTATTCCTCACTTATTGGGTATTGTTGCATAAATAAACAAAGATTATTTTTAATTACTTCTTAAGTGTTAATATGTTAAATGAGTGGGATAAAAAAAGTGTTCACTTTCACAATTCAGATGCACAAATCATGTAATTAAATTTTGCGTCTCAGAAAAATTGCAAACATGACATACCTTAGGCTGACTAAATAAAATGGCAAGTGTCAAATCTTCCAATTCCCAAGACTTTATAWATTATCTTTATATTTCTGTGTGTAACAGACCTGAGATATTCACCAGCTTTTCTTAAGGAGCCACAAAAAAGTAAAGAATGTTTGCTACTGATGAGAATTTTATAACAATTTTTCTGGAATCTACATTTTTGAGGGACCTGAAACACTGTGGGGATTCTAAGTCATACTGTTTGCTTTCTTTTTCTTCTACTTTTTTTGTTTTAGTACTATTAACTTTTAATCAAGGTAGAGAAAAACCCTATCATCGTCATCAGGAAAGTCACTAATTAAGAACACTGTAAATATCATAAACTCTTTACCCATTGTTTCCTTCATTGAGCAACTATTTTCCTGYCAGAAGTGAGAAGTACAAAGGATACAACAATGAATAAGAGATATTGTGACCATCTGTTCAAGGAGCTTAGGGACTGATGGGGGAAACAGACAATGGATGGATGATAGAAGCCATTATCCATGCTTCTGCCACCCATCCATTGCTTATACACTTGTGCATGCATGTGTGTGTGTGTGTATGTGTGTGTGTACATGAGTGCACTTGTGCCAGAATGCATTAGCATGTGCATTGTGCAGGTAAGGAATAGGAGGTAAAATTAAGAGATGTGAATGTTGTTCCCCTGGGATGGGCTGGAGAAAAGGCAGAAAAGCGAAAAGAGAAAGCAGGAAATAAGGAGTTGGAGATTTTTCCAGGTCAAGGTAACCATGTATGGAAAAGCCTGTGGTTTGGCATAAAAGGCAGGGCAGGGCATTTTGGGGTAGCCAAAAGAAGTCAATTTTGAAGTGGTCCACAGAAACCACACTGAGAATTTTGGATTTTACTCCAGTTTGATGGAAAGTCAAAAGGTATCTCAGAGGAGGTGGTTCCATCAACACAACAGGTTTTGCAAAATGATGACAGGGCAGAATGTGGTTGTTCAATGGCATGAGCTGGACCAGAGATCACAAAGGCAGGAATTGATACAAGAAGAGTTCCACAGCCTCTGCCCCTTGGTTAATGGGTTTCTCTCCATCCAAAATGGAGCAAGTATCAACTGTTTGTACCTTCTTGAAAGAGCACTTTGCTTGCCACACACACATTTCATTACCTGAGAATTACAAAACAAACTGAAAGAGAAGAATTCAGAGTGCATTACTAATACATTGTAAGAGATTATAATTGAAAGATGCAAACAACGATTTAGCTCAGCTAATATGCTCTGAATAATATACATTAAAATTAAACAAAAGCCAAACACTGAACCACAATCCTTAAGAGCGTCTTTCAGGAGAAGAGCTATAATGGGAGTAAGGTCCAGATTCTGGCATAGAAGATTATCTGTGTCTTCTAAAATAAATAGATCTGCCTCTTGATTCCTTGATGCTCTCTTTTTACAGAGTTTTCTTGAGCTCTTTCAATCTGCACTCCTTTTTTGGTATAGCTGTCATGCATTTGCCAGCCAGGCCCTGATGGATGCTCATGGAAGAAAGGTAGGCAAAAGTTCTCTCAGCTATAACCACTAGGGCATAATATGTGGTCCACACCATCCTGTCTAGAACCGAAGCTGTCTCTACACACTCACACTCTGTTCCCATTGCTTTTGACTCCTTAACCCAATTTTAATTACAACTACTGCAGGGCTGTGTGTCACCATGCCCAGAATGGTGCTCACGGGTTCATTTCAAGACCTCCACTCAGATCACTGCCATTATTTCTTAACAGTGTCGGCTGCTCACTCTGACTCCTTGGTCACAGGATCAYAAAAGGCAAGAAAAACTGGATCAGGTTCAAGATTACCAACCAGATGAAATTGTGAAAAATAAAGGGCTGGGAATAACAACTGGAATTCTGCAGAACTCACTTCCAGCAGCAAACTTTGATCCAGATTCCTACCTTCCAGGAAGATTGTGACTGTTATAGTCATTAACTATGTTTGGGTGAAAAAAAATTATTGGTAAATGAATTTTTCTTTTAATAACTCTAACAAACTGACTATTTAACAATAGATTCTGATACAAAACTGTAAGGTGAGTGAATTCTGTACTTCAGGATGATAAGCTCCTGAAACATTTTGCTAAGATTAAAAAAAAAATCTATGTATAAACACTGTCTTCCTGATGGTCAATTTGAAAGAAGCAATTCAAACCTTTGCTAATTCTTTGTTCTTGCTAATAGGCTTTGGATTTTATTGATAACAGACAGAAGAAGAGCCCACCTTTATTATCTACCATGATTTCCACTGGAATCTTTTGCCAATAGTGTGTTTTCAGAACTGTCGTCTCAGGAGTGGCTCTCTGAAATACAAAAAAAAAAAAAAAAAAAAAAGTTCCATGCTCAAAGAAATTAAGGAAATATTAACAATTATGTCACTCCTGGCTTTTCACAATAGACAAAAACAAATAAATGAGAAAAAAAGAAAAAAAACCACCATAGGAAAAAAAAAAACACTGAGAAGTCCTGCAACAAAGAAATCTGTGAATTACATTTCACCCATAGACTCCCTTAACTACCTGATAGCAAAGCCTTGTTTTCAAATAGCACCTATTAACATCCTGTGATACAGTGGCTCATGGAAGTCTTCTGGAAAGGATGCAGAACCAGGATGTTTTCCAACCCCCTCCCCCCCCATTGTATGATATAAATGTCCTATTTCCCTTGCATCAATTCAATTACTTACATATGAACTCATCTTAAAAGTACACATTTATAACATTCATTACGTCATCTGAAGGTTCTAGTCACTGACTACAAGAGCTGTATCAACACAATATCGGCCCCTGCCCCGTAGGAGCAGCTAGCATTCTTGAAAGAAAAGATGTATCTCCTTCAAGGGAAGTTGCACAGAAAGGCCACATGGGATTATGTAAAAATTAGTGGGGCAGAAATAAGCACGAGGAGACTTGAAAGGGGGAGGGCAATTGAATGCACATTATCCACTTTTAGAGACAATGGCAAAACACATACACACCCTTTGTTCCCTTCTGCCTGTCATTTTTTCTTCCTTTCCCAGAGACACTCAGAATACAAAATGTGTTATTTATTCTGTGCCCACAGCTTTGGCAGGTTGGGATCCCTACATTGTGAAGCCAAAAGGCATTCAATATTAGAGTTTATTGTCAGGAAGTCATAGATCTTAGAGCCGGGGTTAGAAGAAAACTCTCACCCTCATCTAAGCCACCACATCCCTTGCCTGGCCCCCAGGATCTCCTTGCTTCTGCCCTGGCCCCCCTACAAGCAGTTCCCCGGGCAGCAGCCAGAGTGATTCTTTTCAGATGTAAATTTGACCCGGGCTTTTCCAGTGGCTTCCCATCACAATGAAGATCAAATCCAAATTCTTTTCCACAGGCTACAAAACCCTGTGGAGCCCTAGGCCCGGCTACCTCTCTCCCATCTTCCTCCTGACACTGTCCTTCCTCTCAGATCCCCAGCCCTGGACATCTCTTCTTTTCCTCAGAGGACTGTGTCCTTGCCACTCCTTCCTCCCCTGTAGCATTTCTCCCAGCTTAGTCACATCTCAGTTCCAAAGCTGTCTCCTCAGAAAGGCCTTCCCTGGATCCTTCATTTAAAACAGCCAGCTCATTCCCCTGCATGCCCCCTTCCCCCTCATCCCCCTTACTGTTTCTACAATAGCCTTGTTGAAAATTTTTAAATTTATATATTGTTTACTTCAGTGAGGGCAGGGGCATTTTCCTGTTTGGGGCAGCCTGTGGCTCCTTGCATCTATTAAGCACTCCATAAATGTTGAGTGAATGAGCCAATGAATGAATGAGTGAATGCATACATTGACAGCCAAATTAGCCTGCGCAGCAAGATGGGGTATATGTCAAAGAATATCTGTCAAAGAATATMTGTTATTAAATGAAATAATCATATGAAGCACAAAGACCAAGTAACTTCCACCATGGATGGTAATTATTATTAATTCCCAAAAGCCTCTTTTATAGAATGTTCTTAAACAGGTAACTTATTAGTTCCAAGTGAAAATCCCTTGGCCTACTAATACATGAGAAAGATAATCCATCATTTGTACTCTGCTTCGTATATGGTAAGTGCAAAGCAAAGACATTTTTTAATTATTATTCTGAACTATCTAGACAAAAAAAAAACCCTCAGCATTCTGAAGATACATGATATATCACTTTTTTACTAATATTTTTATTTCTTGGAGACTTCTTAGCCTACTAAGAGAAAGCTACATGAAGAGTTTAAAAAAAAAAAAAACTTTGATTTTGAAATAATTTGACTTCAGAGTTGCAAAAGTAGCAGTTTCCATATAACCTTCACCCAGCTTCTATCAGTATTGCAAATAATTATGGTATAGTGTCAAAACCAGGAATTAATATGGGGGCATTCCTGTTAAATCAGATACAAAACTTATCTCAATCATATGAAGGATTTTTTTGTTAAATATTAGTGGTCTGAGCTAATTAGGATCCTATCTTGGTCCATTAATCAAGGAAAGGAGACACATATTACCATATAGAAATATTAACATAGTCACTTACACAATTCTTCACATCTTTAAAGAGTTTCAAATTTGAGAAACTATTAGTCTCAACCTATGTAGAAGTCCGCTCTTTCTATTCAGGAAAGCCAAACACAAAGCCCTTCACAGTTTCAAAGAGATGTGGACAAGGGGATCCCTGATTTTAATCTTTAGGGTCAAAGCCCTTCTTTCCCTGAGAACCTAATTCCTCCTTGCCCTGTCAGTTCTGGATATCGCTGTGCATTCAGGCTGGAGGGGAAATAAAGCTGAGGGCAGGCCTGGAATTCAAGGAGCATTTCAACCCCAGCCAGAGGAGGATTTGGGCAGAGAGCTCTGAGAGAATCAATCATGGTCAGAGGAAAGACATCCCTGCTCCCCGTGCCCAGGGAGGGCTGCAGGTCCTGGGGGCATCCTCACATGTACTCTCTCTACCTCTGAAGGTGTAGAAGCCACCTGTWGCCTGTCTGGTCACACACAAGGGAACACATGCAGCTGTCCCTTTCCAAGCCACATTCTCCTTGCCCCACAGTCTCCTGCCCGCCACTTCGCCCTACTTGAATGTGACAAATCAGCATCTAGTGAAATTAGTTAATTCAGTGTAATAAAAGAGATGCAAAGACGTTCTCTAAAGTCAAAAAACAACTAAAAGTACAAAGGCAATATCAGCTGCAGGTGAGGCACTGATGTCTTTTTTGTTTGGTTTAGTTTGGTTAATGAAATGCTTTCTACTATAGTATTTTGAATAAGCCCACCCAGCAGGGTGGTCCTCTTAGAGTAAGGAAATGTGCTCTTACATGTCCCTGGTTGGAGATGACCCATACTTGATAACCAATGTCTTGAGAATGAGAATATAGCTTTCATTGGGAGGCTATGATGATTTAAATTTTGCTTCTTTAGAAGATTTTCCCTAAAATGTGATGATTTTGAATCAGAGAATAAAAAGCAGACTAAGTGTGGGAAAATATGTCAAGCTGCCTCATTCTTTCCTCAACACATAGTCTAATGAAAGAGCATAATCTAGTACCCAAGGAGGGGTTAGCATCCTGATTCTCCACAATTTACCAGATGTTTGAACTTGGACCAGTCTTATCCTCGGTTTCCTCATCTGCACAATGAGAAATATAATAACAATACCAAATACAGGGTTTGTTTGGAGAATCAAATGAGATCATAGATGCGAAAGTCCTTTCTTTATATAAAGTTCTTTCCATGTCTGTGACCATTGATCTATCACTTGTAAGAAATATATGGTCAAATCCCCAGTTAAATCCATTAGAACATTTTAACACAGACCTCCGATTGCCCTCTAATGCAGTGATTTAGTACATGAGCTTTTCTTTCCATTTTTTTTTTTGTTTTTCTTTTCTTTTTAACTAAGAAGTGAAAAGAATGGGTACAGAAGGGATGGAAAGTACTTTCCTTCATCAATTTCTTCATAAAGAAATCTTTATGACAATTTTCTCCACAGAGTTCATGAAGTTGTTGKTGGTGGTTTTCTCCCTGCGAATCTCCTCCACAAGCTATGCCCCAAGTCTCCCCATTGTGGAAACTCTGGAGGGAAGGCCTCGCACCCGCCTGCAGGAGAGTTTTCATGAGTCTTCATGGTAATGAGAAAAAATAACCACAAGTTGGTGAGCTAAATTAATTAAATTTGCATGACTGTCATTTACCCTGCGATTACGTCCTCCCTACATTATTTAGTGTAAAAATCTCCTTCCTCTTCTGAAATGATGATGATAGTGGATGGCAACTGTTTTGTTTGTTTTCAATGTCCTTACTCTGCAAAATAAGAAGTTGGCTACCCTGTGTCAGGCCCCAATTATTTTTTGAAATTGGACTGGCCCTTGACAGGCCAGTCTCTGGGAACCCTGGGCCTGGGAGGTTAATTGGAGATGGCAGGGATGGCGGTGGGGAGCTAGTTCAGCTGCCTGTGTTTTGCTTCCTTCCCCAGAGCCTGCGGGGCCCACTGCCCCACATCCGGGCTGTCGCCAGTCCCTGGCTGTGTATCTGCGTCCCAGCCCCGCTGGCTCCTCATCACTGTCCGCTTCACTCTGCACTCCCCTGGCTGGCGTCATCCTTCGAGACACAGCTCCCTAAGTTTGCCATGTGCAGTGACCCTGTGTTGACCCCGAGCCATGATACAAACTATGGGATTGTAATGAATCTCTAATTACCCACAGTCCCTCGGTGGGTGAGTCGTCAGCCCTGCTGCTGAGCTATGTTCCTCCCCAATTTGGTCATCATCACGCATTCAGACTGCAGCCAAACTCTGTGCCCGGAAGCTGGGAGCCCCCACAGTCTCAGCCAAATGAGGCTGGCTCTGCAGGCTTCTGGGATGACAGGATGATTTCCTCCCTTGTTATGAATCAGAGAGGGCGTTTGCACATGAATCATTCTGCTTTGCGTGGGGACCTWGTTCTCCACTTCTATTTTCGCCAGCAGGTCAGGCTGAGAAGATGCTCAGGATCTGGGATGACTGCCCTGGGGTCGGTTGAGAGGGGAGGAGGTGAAAGCATTTTAGTTTCACACAATAATTCTAAAATCCCACATCTTGTCCTCAAGTCAAAAGGGACTGAAAGACTGGTCTAGATTTAATAAGGTGACAAGCAACAGGTTTTATTTTTCAGCAAAAAAGGTTGTTGTTTTTTTTTTTTGAAGAGTGAATTTTTTATTCTGATTTGATATACACGATGGCAGAATGCAATTCATTTCATATTATACATATAGAGCACAATTTTTCAAGACACTAATTGTATACAAAGTATTTTTACACCATTCGTGTCTTATACATGAACTTAGGGTAATGAT